CACACGTGTGTTTGTTTGCTGGAATAGAAAACGGACAAAATTGGTAAATTATGTTATAGACATTTCTCGAGATTTGTTAAATCTTTTTTACCAGTGAGTATGTTTGAGTTCCAATCAAAAATGCTTGGATATAAAATACAAAATATATAATATTTATCTTGTTATTATTCATACTCCATGATGAAAGAATTGAATTCATACCTTGACAGAGGTTACCTTTGATGTGCAGCAGCCTGTTCCCACAAAAGCATTAAATATAACTTTAAACATATGGAATATTAAGTGTTTAAATGTTCAGAGTGAATTATTATTAATCATATTTTTCATGAAACCTCTGTTGTTTTTGTGTCAGTGCAGCTGTTGAGTCAGATCAGTTCCTCTCCAGCTGAGGGAGGTTTTTGTACGACGTTGTATCACTGTGTGAGTGGTGTGTAAGCACCCTGCTGACAGTAGTAAACTCCTGAATCCTCAGCCTGAACTCCACTGATGGTCAGAGTGAAGTCAGAACCAGATCCACTTCCACTGAAACGACTTGAAACTCCAGAGTGACGAGTTGTGGCTGAATAAATCAGGAGTTTAGGAGCTTCTCCAGGTTTCTGAAGGTACCAGTGGAGGTTGCTACTAATACTTGTACTGATTTTACATCTGATAGAGACAGTCTGTCCTGGAACAACAGACTGAGTTCCAGGAGACTGAGTCAGGGCGACCCATCCTGATGAACCTGAAAACATTAAACAGAGGAGAAGGGTTATTGAGACAAATCCAGCTTGGAGAAAGATGATCAACATCCAAACAGAAGAGTATCATTTCTTTAACATGGAGAATAGATGGAAGAAGGTAAATGCTGCTTGTTTCACTGTTTCTCCATCATAGCAGAACATCATTGTGGTGAACCTGTTTGCATCCTGAAGCAAAGTTTTCAGAAGAGAGTCTCACCCTGAACAAGGAGCCCCAGGGTGGCCAGCAGTAGAGTCAGTGACATCATCATTGTGCTGCCGGCGTGTCAGTGGCTCTGAAAGGCCTGGACAGCCACTGATCAACACTGGCCTCTTAAAGGCTGGGAGCAGAGAGGAAGGACACATATGCAAACACACAGAGTCAGTGAACTTTAGCTGTCCTCAACATATCATGCTGTTTCCTCCTCACTGCTGGGAGTACTGACTGTTTAAATCATCCTCATGCTGATTCACAGAAACTCACAATGCTGTTTCTTAATGTCAAACTAAGCATTTTTAGTTTACAGAAGTATAGAAAAGTCATATTATGAGAAAATCTGTTATACAAGAGAGGTTCTGCCAGGAAGGAACACATGAAAACAACTGTCACACTTTACACAAAAAAAATGGAGAAAGTGATGGTGCACATACAGGTAATTCAAATTGACAATTAATATTCAATATAGATCATAAGGAATTCAATCGAGGACAGGCTCAGGGTAGTGGGCAACAGACACATTTTATTAGTACGAGAAATTCCTTGAGATGAACCATGTGGTTTTTCAAGGGGGTCTTCAACACAAAATAGAGTAAAGTACAGTACATAAAGCATTGCCTCATTAGCTATTCCTTAGTAAAAGTTTTATGCTACATGGTTGGTTTGGATCGTGGATGCACATATCAGATCAACAACCTTCCTCAGCTTGAGACACAACTGCAAACATCAGGTTACGAGTGGAGTTTGGAGGCACCAGTTGTGAGCAGCATGCCCTCTTCCATTTCTGTCAGGTCACCAACTGCAGCAGAAAATACTTTTTTCTTTACCAAACAATATGAAGTCCTCCTCCCTGTAAAACAAGACTAGCTGCACTGGATGTGTTGTAGTCTCTGCTAGTGTCATATAAACAGCTAAAAGCTTCTTTCTGACAGATCCTAGAGGGTTAGTAACCATAATTTAATCTTGATACCATACTGTGGATATTGAACACATTATTGTTTGCAATGATTTTACCATCTCCAAGGCCTTCCAGCACATCAGGACTGATTGGTGTGTCACATATCGTTGACATATTGCTCTGGAACTGAGGTCTGATTGAGTAATGCCTTCTTTGTGTCTTTAATGGACAGATACTGGAAAAATCTTTCTTTTTTTCATTTATGGGAGAATATGGGGACTGACAGACCCATACACTCCTTATCTTAGTAATATAAATAATAATATAAGCAAAAACGTGTTCTTACAGCAGCAGAATATGTTGCAGTCAAACCTGTCTGGTCCTTTATATGCATGAAGAGCAGAGCAAAGAGGCAAGAAGACATAACGTAGACAACAAAATACCAGAGTGTGTGGTATGACACAGTTAGACTGTAAACGTGAAACAGGCTCTAACTATAAAAGACACAATACCAAACTACTGTACATATAGGGGCTCTTATATATGTCTGTTAAAGTGTCCTCATACATCAGGTATTACTTCATAATGAACAGGACTGTTGAACTGTGTGTTGTGTAAAACACTCCTCATAAATAAGGTGTGTATTCCTCTTAATGCACAATGCTTTTTAGTGCCATTATTGTGTGTTGTATAGCTACTGTCCTGACAAATTTAATGAGTTAGTGTGTGTGTGTGTGTGTGTGTGTGTGTGTGTGTGTGTGTGTGTGTGTGTGTGTGTGTGTGTGTGTGTGTATCCTCAGTGAAGTGTATCAGTCTCTGCAGTAGCTTCAAGCTGCAGCAGTCAGTTCAGTTTCTGTTCAGTCTGACTGAGGGAGGTTTTTTGTACGACACTTTTTCACTGTGTGAACACATACTGACTGTTGATATAATGATAACTCTGACAGTAGTAAACTGCTGTATCTTCAGCCTGGACTCCACTGATGGTCAGAGTGAAGTCAGTCCTTGATCCACTGCCTGAAAAACGACTAGCAATCCCTGATGCTCTTCGATTTGCCCAGTAAATCAACAATTTAGGAGTTTCTCTTTCTTTTGTTGGTACCAGGCTAATATGTAGTCAGAACCATCATAGTGCACAGCAGGACTGCTCCTACAGCTGATGGTGACGGAGCCTCCCACAGCAGAGCTCACTGCTCCAGGCTGAGTCACTGTGACCTGGCCTCTGGACTCTGAGGATACAGAGACAAAAACATAAAGCAGCGTCATGGTTCTGTGGGCTTCATTTCAGAGGGACGGATGTTCATAGAGGAGAGGAGTTTGATTCTCTGGACTTTACCTGTGAAGCAGCAGCAGAGGAGAGTCCAGATGAGGACGGAGATCAAAGTCATGTTTTTGATGAGGAGGATTTCTGTGTCTTCTGTTGTCATGAAGGACAGCTGTCAGTCATCCAGTGTTCAACTCTCAGGACTATAAACTCTCCCAGAGCACTGGAGCATGGTGCTGCTGATGCAAAGTGGCTCTCTATGGAAATGCTCTGACTGACTCCAACAGGGACTTGGATTACTCTGATGATGCTGTTTCTCAATGGATCAATCACTTTATCAGAGTATTGATTAACAATGTATCAGTGATCATTTTAATGTGGAATGGGCTTGATGACTGCACAATGATTTTCTTTCAGAACGTCTTCTGTCTGCTTTAATTTAATGCTAGAGAGATCAATGTTACTTTCAGACATATGGAACAATAAATATGTAAAAATGTGATTCATTCTGAACAATTGTGGCACTGTTTGATAAATAGAACATGAAATAGTTCATTCTTTTAAAAACAGGAACTGTTGATGTTGACTTTGTTGTGTTCAAAGTCAGAGAGCCGTGTCTCTCTACAGTGAGAGGTTTTTGTACGACGACTCAATCAGTTTGTATCACTGTGGTACACGTTCGGTGGAGGAACCAGACTGGAGATTGGAAGTAAGTTCAAGTTTAGATTTTTTTGAAATAAAAAAATGTTCTGTTCTGCAGGTACTTTTTTGTCTAGCCATTGAAATATCAAATGTTTATTTCTATTTTTCTCCAGTAGTTTTGTATAAAGAAAGTAAACTGTGAGTTTTCAAATCCAAATTAAATTATGAATGTAATTACTACAATTCCTCGGTGAAGAGCAGAAGTCATTTATTTCAGTTTTGAGATTAAAGTGAAAAGTTGAGTACTTGCAGTTTAAACTTTGTCAGACAAAGTCAGAGAGCCGTGTCTCTCTACAGTGAGAGGTTTTTGTACGACGACTCAATCAGTTTGTATCACTGTGGTTGACTTTTGGTGGAGGAACCAGACTGGAGATTGGAAGTAAGTTTCTGCTCAAATATTAAATATGGTATCATCAGTTAAAGTTTTAATTTCTGTGTCTGAACATTTGTAGTAGATATACATTTCCACTGGGCTGATCTAAATCACTTTAAAGACTCAATTTTATTGTTGTTTGGCCTTAAAGTTGAACTCAAGGCAGCTTTAGTGAACTTTTCTTTAAATGTTCCAGTTAATTAGTGAAATGTGAACAGCTTCAACTGCAGGAAAGATTAAAGAGCAACACTCGTACTGTACAAATGTTTTTAAAATTCAGTCATTTATTCTGCATTTTTAACTGCAGTTAAAATAACATTTAATAGTGTGAATGATAAATGTTAGGAATGATTCCAAATCTCTGATCTTCTAAAATGGCACAAATTGTGTTTTAACCTCAGTTAGAAATAACGCTGACACTTTTCTGAAGCTTTTGTGTTTTTCAGTCCGTCTGTTTAACAATTCAACTGTGGTTGTCAATTAGTTTTAGCTGATAATTGATATTCAAAGTCTTTTTTTCAAATAGTCTAAAATAAAATCCCACCAAAGACATGTTTTTAATGTTGATATTTATAATGTGCTTCTGTTATTTGCAGTGTAGTTTGATATATTTCAGGTCATATGAGGACTGTGTCTGTGCTGATGTGCATGAGAGGTTTCTTAAAGGGAAGTGAAACAATGTGTGAGTGAGTGACTGCTGGAGCAGAAAAACCATCTGACAGAAACTCCTTAAAGGAGAAAATCAACTCTCACACAGTAAAGGTGTCCAAGTGTCTGCTGGTTGATTGACAGCTGTGTGGTCCCTGTCCTCTAATCTGATTGGTGTCTCCTAGGTGATGTCCGTCCCACCCTGACGGTGCTGCCCCCTCCAGTGAGGAGCTGCAGCAGGGGAAGGCCACGCTCATGTGCCTGGCCAACAAGGGCTTCCCCTCAGACTGGAGTCTGTCCTGGAAGGTGGACGGCAGCAGCAGCAGCAGCAGCAGCTGGGAGCAGAGCAGGAGCCCCGGGGTGCTGAAGGACGGCCACTACAGCTGGAGCAGCACCCTGAGGCTCTCTGCAGACCAGTGGAGGAAGGTGGGCTCTGTGACCTGTGAGGCCACCCAGGGCTCCCAGACTCCGCTCTCAGAGACACTGAGGAGAGACCAGTGTTCCCAGTCCTGACCTGACTCACTGGGACTCTGCTACTGGTTTTACTCTGCTACTGCTCTCACTGTGCACTCTGTAACTATCTCTCTCTTTCATTTGACATGTTTCAGTCAGAATATTTACTAGCTTGTTGCAGTGTTTCAATATTATTTCACTGTTTCCAGATAATAAAGACGTGTTCATCAAATCAGTTGTTTTCATCTTTATTATTATCAAAGTGTCTTAATGATTTTCTCTTCATGGTGTCAGTGACTGGATTACATCCAGTGAAAAACTGAGTCAATGCAAAGAATATATATTATTCTTAAATCTCTAAAACCACAAAAGTATATAAAAAAGCATATCATCAACATAGAGAGATTTAAAATGACTTTGATCAGTAAGTTCAACCCTGGGAATATTTACATACTGCTTTTACTGAACAGCTCAACTGTACAGACAAATGAGTTAAAGTTTTAAGTTTTAAAGTTGCTCTGTGTGTAATAATTGGTCCTCCCTGTTTAAATACATGAGGATGTCAAAATATTAGAAGCACCTGAATATAATGTAATCCAGTGCAACAACATCACTGACGTCAATGCAAAAACATATAATTATCACCTCTATGACAGTGTGAACAAGAAGTGAACATTATCGGCATCATTGAAATAGATTTGTAATTCATTATTTATTTATACTTACGTATGGATTTCATTATAATGTACAGTTGTAATGAGTGTATGTCTGCTTCATCAATAATACAAAATGTCTTGGGTTAAAGAGGTACATTACTATTTTAAAAGATTTGTTCAAATAAAAGATTTATTTATCCTTCAGTTTTATTAATCTGCATTTTTAGTGTTAATTTAAAGGTTTTGTTAAGTACGGCCTAGACTCTAAACTTCTCTAAATAAAGTCTGACCGGAGATAAATTCTGTTATAATTTATCACTATACAAATCAAATTATTCTATAATAACACAGAATTTTCAGTGAAACAAGAATTAACCTTCAGAAATTATGAGATGAAAAATTTCTTTCACACCAAAACATTTTGTGTTTTTGTGTCATAATTCCTTCTTAAACTATTTATTTTCTGAATGAAGCTTTGCTCTAAAACTGTTTAAGTAAACTGTAGATGTGTGATAAAATATTGTTTCAGTGATAATAAAATGATGTACTGAATTGTATGATAGATATTTTCACAATTAAAATAATACTGTCTTATACAATCATGAGTTTTCATTGTAGAGAAGCTTCTGTTGTTTTAGTGTCAGTGCAGCTGTTGAGTCAGATCAGTTCCTCTCCAGCTGAGGGAGGTTTTTGTACGACGTTGTATCACTGTGTGAACGGGAAGCTGTTACTCTGCTGACAGTAGTAAACTCCTGAATCTTCAGCCTGAACTCTACTGATGGTCAGAGTGTAGTCAGAACCAGATCCACTTCCACTGAAACGACTTGAAACTCCAGACTGACGAGTTGTAGCATAATAAATCAGGAGTTTAGGAGCTTCTCCAGGTTTCTGAAGGTACCAGTGGAGGTTGCTACTAACACTTGAACTGGCTGTACATCTGATAGAGACAGTCTGTCCTGGAACAACAGACTGAGATCCAGGAGACTGAGTCAGGATGATTTGTCCTGATGAACCTGAAAACATGAAACAGAGGAGAAGGGTTATTGAGACAAATCCAGCTTGGAGAAAGATGATCAACATCCAAACAGAAGAGTATCATTTCTTTAACATGGAGAATAGATGGAAGAAGGTAAATGCTGCTTGTTTCACTGTTTCTCCATCATAGCAGAACATCATTGTGGTGAACCTGGTTGCATCCTGAAGCAAAGTTTTCAGAAGAGAGTCTCACCCTGAACAAGGAGCCCCAGGGTGGCCAGCAGTAGAGTCAGTGACATCCTCATTGTGCTGCCGGCGTGTCAGTGGCTCTGAAAGGCCTGGACAGCCACTGATCAACACTGGCCTCTTAAAGGCTGGGAGCAGAGAGGAAGGACACATATGCAAACACACAGAGTCAGTGAACTGTAGCTGTCCTCAACATATCATGCTGTTTCCTCCTCACTGCTGGGAGTACTGACTGTTTAAATCATCCTCATGCTGATTCACAGAAACTCACAATGCTGTATAATAATTTCATACTAATCTAAAACTAAATTAAACAGTTTATTTTTTATTTACTTAAATACAGAAAGAGAAAGACATGGTGCTCATACAGGTAACTGAAATTGAAAACTAAGCAACTAACTTCATTTTACAGAAAGTTACTTTCAACATTTTTACTCATCACTGACAACACTGGACCAAACATTATTAAGGTTATAAAAACGTAAAATAGATCAAATGTGGATTATAAGAAACTATCAATTATATAACTTAAGAATTTAAGAGTTGTCATCAGAAGTGTAAATTACAGTATGCTGTACATCTACATCAACTCCAGAAATATGTTGCTCTCTCTGTCACAGTGTTAAACTGGTTCAGTCCCTAACTGTCAGGAAGAGATGATGTAGTCTCACTTGGTTAACAGTCATTCAATTCAATTCAATTCAATTTTATTTGTATAGCGCCAATTCATAACAGAAGTTATCTCAGGACACTTTTCAAATAGAGCAGGTCTAGACCGAACTCTTTAACATTAATTACAGAGACCCAACAGTACCACCATGAGCAAGCACTTGGCGACAAGGGCAAGGAAAAACTGCCTGTTAAAAGGCAGAAACCTAGGACAGATCCTCCGGCTCTAGGTGGGTGGTCGTCTGTCTCGACCAGTTGGGGTGAGAGAGAGAGAGAGAGAGGCAGAGAGAGAGAGAGCGAGAGACAGACAGACAGACAGGTGCACAGCAACAACAGTCATCTGCTACTATCAACTATAATCCCACAAGGCTTCATCCTAGGTCCTCTTTTGTTCAGACTTTACATGCTGCTATTATTTGATACTGCAATCTATGGTCTATTTAAATCACTCTATATCTTTTCAAAATATGCAGAATCAGTTAACATGTATATCTCCAAGTGCTCCCAAAATCCAGACAGACATTCTTAGATATTAGATATCACATTTTCTGAATGGTGTCCAGATTGTGTGCGTCTGCAGTGAAATATCTTACTGTAGTAAGATGGAAAGTAGAATTTCATACTGTACGCACAACATTTACTACTACTACAAATATCTGATCAAACATTTACACCACCATACAATGTGCTCCCTCAACCACATATCACTCCTGTTGTCCAAAGCCTCCACTGTGTCATTGTCCCACAACAGATCCAATTTAAAGTCCTTCTCCTCACTCACAAAGCCCTCTATAACCAGGCCCCCTCCTACCTCACTGACCTGCTCCACTGCCGCACTCTGTCACAAAGCCTCTGCTCTTCTGATGCCAACCTCCTGTCTCCACCACCCAGGACCAAGCATCCAAACCAAGCCTTCTCCATAGCTGCACCCCAACTCCATCCTCAAACACATCAGAGACTGTACCGATTCATCCACATTAAAATCACTAATCAAAACCAGTCTTTTCAGAATTGCTTCAATGTGTGATTGTATTTTCTTGCTGGTTGTTTGATGATCTTTTTAACCTATGTATTTTAACTTATGTGAAGTGTCTTTGAGTACATGACAATATATATATGTACTTATAAATAAAATGTAATATTATTATTATTATTGTTAGGAAGTTGTCATTATTGGAGGAACTCTCTGTGCTAAATATCAAAAATCAGTTCTCTGACAACCTTAATGTACTACATATCCAAACATTGCTTCATATAATCTATTCTGTCCCAAAAAACAATCAGCATTGTTTGGTTACAAACCTTTTAGATACTTGTAAAGATAGTTAAAGTAGTGCTTCAAAACCACCTTAGCTGTCTTAAAGTTAAAAAACCTTTGCAGACTACTTATGACAAAATACTGTCCTTCAGTTTGTTCAGGATCAGAAAAACTGTCTGAGGTTTGTGGATCAGTGTCTGAAGAATGTCTGTTTAAAGTTCAGAGGTTGAAGTTAATGAACGTCTCTTCTTTTGTGGACTACAGATGAAACTGCATTGATCTATGTCTGATCACATATTTTATGTTTTCAATATGTGAGTTTGTAATTTTCTTCCAGCTTTATGATCTTGATCTCTCTCTTTTGTGTCAGTTTTTCCAGATGAAGGTCAGGGTGACGTTTGCAGGAGAACAGGGGAACCAGGCTTTATATTACAAAACCTAAATACAGTACATGTTGACAGACTGAACAAAATATAGGGGCAGTTAGATATATTGTGCTGTTAATATGTCTGGGTTGCTTCAGTGAACTGTATCAGTCTCTGCAGTAGCTTCCAGCTGCAGCAGTCAGTTCAGTTTCTGTTCAGTCTGACTGAGGGAGGTTTTTGTATGACGCTTTTTCACTGTGTGAACACATCCTGACTGTTGATAGAATGATAACTCTGACAATAGTAAACTCCTGTATCTTCAGCCTGGACTCCACTGATGGTCAGAGTGAAGTCAATTCCATTCCCTGCTCCACTTCCACTGAATCTGGAGGATATTCCAGATTCTCTGCTTGATGTTCTGTAGATCAGAAGTTTAGGAGCTTCTCCAGTTTTCTGATGGTACCAGGCCAGGTAGTATTGTGAACCAGAGTACAGAGCAACTTGTCTACTGGCTTTACATTCAATAGAAACAGTTTGTCCCGGTTGGACTGATTTGGCTGCTGGCTGAGTCACAACAACATTCTGTCCAACAGACCCTGAGGAGAGAGAAGAAACAATGGACATGAGATGGTGAGGTGAAACTCAGCTACACTCCAAATGATTTTCACAGCACAGAAAACTGATTTTCCTCACCCTGAGTGAAGCAGAGGAGAGTCCAGATGAGGACGGAGATCAAAGTCATGTTTTTGATGAGGAGGATTTCTGTGTCTTCTGTTGTCATGAAGGACAGCTGTCAGTCATCCAGTGTTCAACTCTCAGGACTATAAACTCTCCCAGAGCACTGGAGCATGGTGCTGCTGATGCAAAGTGGCTCTCTATGGAAATGCTCTGACTGACTCCAACAGGGACTTGGATTACTCTGATGATGCTGTTTCTCAATGGATCAATGACTTTATCAGAGTATTGATTAACAATGTATCAGTGATCATTTTAATGTGGAATGGGCTTGATGACTGCACAATGATTTTCTTTCAGAACGTCTTCTGTCTGCTTTAATTTAATG